ATCACAAAAGGACAAATATTGTATTATTTCACTTATATGATGTACCTAGAGTAGTCACATACATAGACACATAAAGTAGAATGGTTGCTGCCAGGGCCTGGGCCTGGGCCGGTGGGGGGATTGGGAGTTATTGTTTAATGGGTACGGAGTTTCAGTTTGGCAAAATTAAAAGAATTCTCAAGATGATGAATGCACAACAATGTGAATGTACTTAATACCACTGAACTATATACTTAAAAATGGTTAAGAAAATAAGTTGTATGTTACATATATTTTATGACAATTAAAAACAAATTTTAAAAGCCCAAAATAGCCAAGGGAGAATTTGTTTAAGATGTCAAGACTAGAAAGGAGAAGCCAGTTGAGCCCAAGTCCAAGGTCTCCTCATCTTCTTGCTGTACCAACTCTTTGAAAGAAATGACATTTAGAAGGACCAATGGTGGGTCTGCACGGAGCCTTCTGGCAGTGATCTCCTCACTTGAATGCATGTGTTAACTGAACAAGCAAAATGGAAACCTATTACACGAAGCTACAGTTTAACCTGCAGCACTGAGTTCCCATGAACCTCATAAAAAGCAGCAATCAGAGAACTTTGAAATTTAAGGGAAATTAAGTTTAAATAGCTGCCCAGGTCCAAGCAGAAAGCCCAAAGCTTTCTTGACCTGTTTGGATTTCTACAAAACATGTCACAGAGGGAGCTGTTACTGGGCCCTAGCCATCAGTTTCCCTGAAAGAAATAATCTTGTTTTTGTTTTTGTTTTGTAGCTTCCACAAAAATGTGATACTACAAATATAGCACATTTAAATCCATGCCAACAAGTTGATTCTCATACTAAAACAGAAGTGGTTAAAGCTTTCCATGGCTGTCCTGTCCCTAACTTTTATGGGAAAAATTCTAAAAATATATCACAACTCAGTATGAGGGAAGAGGGTGCAATTGAAATGTATTATAATCCAAATGTGTTTGTTTTTCTGCATGTTGATTCCTGTGAAACCCAAAAAGTACTATGAATAAATTGTATGAACTGACAAATTTTTTCTTTAATTTAGGGGGCAAAATGTTTTTTAAAATATTCATTCTTATTTTTATCATGCACAATGTATATAATTTTAAAAATCAAACACTTCTACAATAAAGGTTGATTCAGTAAGAAATGAATATTTTAAAAATGTATTATATCCACATAACTATAAAAAGAAAAACCATCTCAACAGATTCAGAAAAAACATTCAACAAAATTCAACACCTATTCATGATTGAAAACTCTCAGCAAACTATAACAAGAGAATTTTCTCAATCTGATAAAGGGCATCTATAAAACCCTACAGCTAACATTATACATACTGGTGAAAAGACTGAATGCTTTTCCCCTAAGATCAGGAAAAAGGCAAAGATGTCAACTCTCACCATTTCTATTCAACATTGTAAAAGATGTCCTAGCCACTATATTCTGGGGGAAATTATAGGGGTGTGTACAGATTGGAAAGTAAGAATCCAAAAGTATCTAATTTCAAACAACATTATCATCTACGTAGAAAATCCTAAAAAACTCACCAAAAAAGCTGTAGAACTAATAAACGAGTTTAGCAATATCATAGGATACAAGGTCAACATGAAAAAAAATCAATTGTGTTTCTACACACAAGCAACAAACTATTAGATGTTTTATAAAGCTCTCTTTACAGTAACATAAAAACTCTTTAAGTATTTGTGGGTAAATTTAGCTAAATATTTGCAAGGCCTATTGTGAGAATTATAAAACACAGCTGAAAGTATATAAATAAATGGAATAAATAAAAGATGTAAATAAATGCAGAGTTATAACATGTTCATGAATGAGAAGACTCAATGTTAATTCTCCCCAAAATGATTTATAGATTCAAAGCAATCCCAATCAAAACTGCAGTGGGCTTTTTTTTTTTTTGGTAGGAAAGCTATATAAATTCTAAAATTTATATGGAAACGCAAATGACCTAGAATAGTCACAACAACTTTGAAAAATAACAGTTGATGGAATTATGCTACCAATTTCAAAAATTACAACAAAGCTAAAGTAATCAAGACAATGTGTTACTGGACTAAGGGTAGACATATAGGTCAAAAGAACAGAAAAGGGGGTCCAGAAATAGACCCACAACATACATAGCAAACTGATTTTCAACAAAGATGCCAAGGTAATTCAATGAGGAAAAGCTAGCTTTTCAATAAATGGTGCTGGAACAATTGTTATCTACATGCAAAAAAAAAATTAACCCAGACCCTTAACTCTAACCATATACTAAAAATTAACTCAGTGGTTCCAGAAGTAGATTCCTGAGATCCATGATTATACTCCACATTTCAATACGACATTGCTTTAACTGAGGAGAAGGGATGCTATACAAAATAATAATAATAAATATTAATATTATTAAATAATACTAAAAATTCATAATGGACCATAAGCCTAAATACAAGAGCTAAGACTATAAAAATTCTAGAAGAAAACAGAAAAATATCATTACAATCTTAGAGTAGACAAAAATTCCTTCAATAGCATATAAAAAGCATGAACCATAAGAAAAAAATTGGACTTCATTAAAATATTAGGATTCTACTCTTCAAAAAACACTATTAAGAAATGAAAAGGCAAGCCACAGAGTGGAAAAAAATATCTACAGAAGAGCTGTCATCAGAATAAGAATGCTCATAATTCAAATGTAAAAAGACAAACAACTCAATAAAAAATTGTTAAAAGATATGAACAGATACTATACCAATAAGATATTTTACAAATGGCAAATAAATACACAAAAAGATGTTCAATATCCTTAGTCATTAAGAGAACGCAAATTAAAACCATCATGAGATACTACTACACAACCACTAAAACAGTTAAACTTAAAAAAGACTGACAATACCAAGTGTTGGTGAGGATGTGGAACAACTGGAACCCTCATCATTGTTTGTGGGAATGCAACTTTGGAAAACAGTTTTGCAGTTTCTTATAAAGTTAAACACAGATGTACCATATGACTCAGCAATAGCTCCTCTCTTGGGAATTTACCAAAAAATATGAAAAGATATGTTCACACAAAGGCTTATATACAAATGTTTACACCAACAACATTCATGATAGCCAAAAGTGTAAACAACCCAAATGTCAATCAAAAGTTGAATGGATAAGCAAATTAGGTTTCTCTATATAATGGAATACTATTCAGTAATGAAACAGAATTAAAAATTTAGATGAATCTCACAAGCATTACACTAAGTGGAAGAAGCCAGACACAGAAGACTGCATACTATATGGTTTCATATATATGAAATTCTAGAAAAGGCAAAACTATGATGACAGGGAAGGTAAGTGCTTTTGCTAGGTTCCAGGGTAGAGGGGACTGACTGCAAAGGGGCACAAGGAAACTTTTTGGGTTAACTGAAATGTTCATATCATGATTGTGGTGGAGGTTATAAAACTATACACATCAAATTGAACACATCAAATTGAACACTTAAAATTAGTGAATGTTATTTTATGTAAATATTTAAAAAGAGTTTAAAGAGATTTACTGAATGTCTAAGTTATATGTATATGCAACCTGCTCCAAATTGTAGAGTTATCCTTATATTTCTCAGCAATGGGTGTCTTGTAATTTGATAAACTTAGTTTTATAGCTCCAGTGCAAAAATCATTCCATGAATTTATACAAAGAAAGCTCTATCATTTTGTAACAACATTCACCACTGGTGCAAACATGGAGCAGAGACAAAGCACAGGGTGGACCCCTGTTGTCTGAGGAAGCCAAACTGCATTAATGTCACCATTTGGCGAAGACCTGCAATATTGACAGGGAGATCTAGCTGTGTGCTAGACATCTTTCAGTCCACCATCTGTAATAGTATTCATTCAAAGCTGAAGAAGAAATGTTATGTCTTGCAACTGATAAAAGCTCTAATGATGGCAGATAAAGCAAAACAGTATAACTAGTGCTTCAGTTTTAAAAGCCACAAGGAACACAAAGATGACTTTGCAGGTCACCTCACATTCAAGGATAAGGCTATATTTCACTTAAGCGAAGAGATGAGTGGTCACAGTGTACAACTGGGGGGTGCTGCCATCATTTTATAATAGAATACGCAAAGAATTCATTTAAAAAATCATGTCTTTTAAATACATTTGACTGACCTATTTGCTTATTGCTGTTTCTCCCTACTACAATGATATATGATGATACTACACAATGACAGGGATTTTTGTCTTTGCTGTTCACTACTATATCCCTAGCTTGTAGAACAATGCCTAGCATATAGTAATTGCTTAGTAAATATTTGTTAAATTAATAACTTATGCCTATGTAGATATTCAGCAAATATTTGTAGAAATTTATGTCTACATAGATATTATTCACAGCTAAATGTTGTAATAACTTTCTTCTATAATTTCTTTGACTGGAAGTTAATAACTGTCTTGTTTCCTCATTCATTTTGTTTCTAAATACAAATTCAAACAAACTTTCAAGCAAAATTATTTTCTCCTTTATATATTTCTTCATTCCAAAAATTTCCTACAGTATGTGTGTGTATTTAGAATAAAGAATAAATGCATCTTTATAAAATTCGAGTTCTATAGAGGGCTATACCAATAATAGCATGCTTCAAGTTTTCTTTTAGCTATTTCTTCAAATCTATCCTTCTATAAATGCTCTTTACCCTGTCTGGAAAATCCTCCACACATTTCTCTATAAACCTAACCTATTTTCAACCCAATCTCCCCAACTAAGAATCCTTTATAATACTGGTTAATAATCCTTTGATCAATTTTGACTCCCAACAAAACCCTAAACCCCTTTAGGACAAGCAATATTCAGTATGTATTTTTATTTCCCTCTGTTATAGAACATTGAATAAATGCTTGTTTGGATTTCATTGAGAATGAAGAAGTTTGAAGATCCAAAAATTAATGTAAAGCTACGAAGATAAAGAAATATATTTGCATATTAAACTATTGCATAAAACCTACCAGTAGTGTCTGTCCTTGCGAAATAAAGAAATGACCTGATATAACTATGGTGAGAACAAGATGTCCAGATTCTTCATTGGAGTCAAAAACCTTGAGAAAGAGAGAGAGAAATATGTATAAGACAATACATTTCTGTAATACTAATAAACTTATAATACTGATAACCAAATTATCTTCTCACATTGATCTTCCTACCCTGAATGTCCCCTTTCTTCTCATTCAATCTGTAATCATTCCCTTACAGTTTCAAGTTTGGTTTTTTCATATTTCTGAATTTTTCATATTTCTAATTTTAAATTAAATATATCGAGATGACATTGGTTAATAAAATCATATAGGTTTCAAAATATCAAGGTGACATTGGTTAATAAAATCATATAGGTTTCAAGTAAATAATTCAATAATATATTATATATATATAATATGTGTATTGCATTGTATGTTCACCACCCAAAATAAATTTCCTTCCATCACCATATATTTGACCCCCTTTACCCTTATCTACCTCCCTCTCTTCCCACTTTCTCTCTGGTAACCACTAAACTGTTGTCCGTGTCCATGAGTCTCTCTCTGTCTTGTTCGTTTGTTGCTTTCAGTTTTATATTCAACATATAAGTGAAATCATATGGTTTTCAACTTCTGACTTTTTTCGCTTAGCATGGTTATCTCAAGGTCCATCCATGTTGTTGTAAACGGCAGTTTATCCTCATATAAGGGCTAACAGTCAGGCTTTTTAAAAATGTAACTAAAACCAATATTTTGAAACAGAAAGAATACTAGATTGAGAATCAAGAGATGGGCTTGAACCAACCACTTTTCAGTTACCTTTTAATAAATCATTAACCATCTCAGCCTCAATTTCCTTTCTGCAAAATGGGAATAATGCCTTACCAGGGTGCTGTGAGACTTCAGAGTCCCAGTTTCTTCAGCCACATAATCATATTTCATAACCCCTCAAAACCTGGTACTTTCCTTTGGATGAGCTTTAATTTGTCAACGTTACTCTTAAAATATGGTGCCCCAAATTGACCATAATACTCTTGGTGTGGTCTAATTATCTCCTATTACTTATAGCCTATAATGACATTAACCTTTTGAGTGGTAGTGCCATTCAAGAGTGATCTCAGATCAATCGAACCTCCTGAAACTTCATTACCTATGTTGGTAAATCATACTTTCACTTTCTTCATCTGAACTTAAATGTGAGATCTTACATTTATCCCCATTATATTTTATCTCGTTAGATTTGGTTTATAGTTGTAGTGGGGGAGTTGAGGCAATGAAATCAAAATGTCAGGGTAGACATGACTGATAGGTACATGAGAGGGGGTCTTAAGTTTGGGTCTTAAGAGGTTACACTGCATAGGTGGCTTTAATATCGTTAACAAACATCCTGTATAAATAAGAAATTATAGACTCACCTTAATGCTCAAAATAACACACACCTTACTCAAGTATATTTTATAAGGTTACTGCATCCTACTGAGAAATAATGTTGTATCTTATAGTTTCGTATGTGAGGTTCGTAGCTTTAATGTCATAAACTCAAGATTTCCTACTGAGTTTTCTCTAGTTCACTTTAAATTCCATACTTAAAGATCATATAATATTTTAGATGTCAAGGGGTTGGTATGCTAAGCCCTGCACTATTTCCTGCTGTGGTTGTTATTCTGCCTCTTTCCCAGTATTAGGAACTCAGTTATTTGTATGACACAATCCCCACCATAGTTTAAATGCATTATCTTGTACGTTTCATGCCCAATTAAAACCACAAGTATAGAGAGCTAAGAATTAGAGTCTGATCAACGATTTCTTTGGGAGGCAATATGTTAACATGATAGTTTAACTTTTTCTTTTTTGAATTGTAACGTGTATCCTGAAAAGTATCCAACACTTAAATGTACAGCTCAATGAATGATGATAAAGCAAATATATAATCACCACCCAGGTGAGGAAGCAAAACATTACCAGCTTTCCAAAAAGTCCCCTAGTGCTGTCTCCCAATACTTACGTGCTCCCAATCCTTCCAAGATAACCTCCCATCGTGACTTCTAACACCACTGTTTAGTTTTATTTATATGAATGGAATCAAATGGAAAGAATTCTTTTATATCTAGTTTCATCGATGCTGTTGTAAGTGAGTGAGTGAGTTCATTTTCATAACTATAGAATACCATTTTCCAGTTTAGGTCTAACACAAACAATGCTGTTATGAACATTCTTATATGTGTCTCTTGCAGGCAGAAACACTGCATTTTTCAAGCTGTAACTAATGACTTCCAACAGAGTCCCAGTAGACCTCTCCCCTGCCTTCCAAACTGTTACATCTAATTGGCCACTCACCATCTCCACTTAAAGATCTAATAGTCATCTCAAAATTAACAGCCCCTAACTTGGAAGTACAAACCTTATCATTCATTCATCCATTCATTCATCATTTACAAAGTGTCTGGCAAGTGAATTCTGTTGCCTATCACCAGGAATAGAAGTCCAAACGCTTTTCCCACTTCATCTTGGTACTGGAGTCACCAGGGAAAATACAACACAGTCAAGCACTGGATGGAAGAGCACTTTACTCACACAGAGAAGAAACTAATCAAGATCAGCATGATTAGTGGGGTGGTTCCCCTGGGGTCAGAAGGTCCCTCTCAGCAGCCATGCAGGGCAGCTGGCCTGTACTCATCCCTCTTGTGCTACAGTAGAAAGATCCTGTCCCCTTCCCTCAGACAACAACTACAGCAGTGGGGTTGGTCAGGTGTTATATGATGGTTAAGCAGAACAAAGGAGCACAGGTTGTGAAGACTCTATCACTTGGTAAGAAAGTATTCCAGGCCCAAGGCCAAGAGGCGATCAAAAAACTGCACGCACAACTGCCTTTCCCAACACAAAGCACCCACTATGTGACAGGCTGTTATTGGCATTTGACTCCCACAGTTTACCCATCTCAGGATATAATTCAATGCTTATTTTTCCTTTGGTCAAAAGTACGGAAACATTTTTGAATCCTCTCCTTTTCTCATACCCATATGCAATCTATCAGCCAATCCTTCATGTCTACCTTCAAAATATTCAGAACCTAACCACTTCTCACAGGTCTGGTCTGAGTTATCACCATCTCTAGTTAGATTATTATAATAACCTCCTAAGTGTTTTTCCTAGTTCTGTTCTTCCTCCTCTTCTCTAACAGTTTATTTTCAATCCAGTAGCCAGAGTGATCCTTTCAAAACTTAAGTCAGATCATATCATTTCCAGCTCACAGCCCTGCAGCAGCTTTCCATCTCATTCAGAGACTCGTGCAAAATGCTCCACAATCTAGCCTTTCATTGCCTTTCTGCTCCAACCACACTGACTTCCTTGCTGCTTCCTGAACTCACTAGGCCCATTCATGATTATAAACCTCTGGGCTTTTACAATTGCTATTCTATCTGAAATTCTCTTCTATATCCACATGACTTGCTCCATCTTCTTCAGATTTTTTCTTTTTCTTTTTTAATTTTTTTTATTATTAGTTTCAAGTATACAGTACATTGATTAGACATTTATATAGTTTATGAAATGATACCTCTATGCTTCAGGTCTTTTCTTAAATGTCATCTTTTCAGGTAACACCTTTCCTGACCATCCTACTGAAAAATGCCTCCAACTCCCCCATTACTCAAAGCAGACCGATTCTATTATTCCTTTCTCCAGCTTTGTTTTTCTCTATAGTTCTTACTTTTGTTGCTTTATATTTACTTGTTATCTGTCTGCCTATCTTCTTTAAAAGATAATTGATAAATGGGATTATAAACAATGCTCAGTCCTCCCCCCCCCTCAAAAAAAAAAGGCAGAATAAGAATAAAAATGGAACAAAGAACAGATAGGACAAATACAGAACCAAAAACAAGATTATAGACTTACACTCAACCCTATCAATGATCACCTTAAATGTAAATGGCTTAAACACCCCAATGAAAGGCAATCTGACACTGGGATAAAAACAAGACAAAACTATATGCTGCCTACAAGAAACACACTTTAAATATAAAAACATGAACAAGTTAAAAACAAAAGGGTTTGGAAAACATATGCTAACATTGGTCAAAAGGAAGCTGGAGTAGCTATATTAATATTTGACAAGAATATCAAAAGGCATAAAGAAGGTCATTTAATAATAATAAAGAGATCAATTAAGAGACATAATCTTAAACATTTATGTCCCCAATAACAGAGCTTAAAAATATATGAAGCAATAACTGATAGAACTGTAAGGAGAAATAGACAAATCTACAATTATAGTCAGAGATTTCAATACTCCTCTCTCAATAATTGACAGAACAAGTACATAGAAAGCCAGCAAGTACAGTAGACTTGAATAATGTTGTCAACCAATATGACCTGACTGACATGTTATAGACTACTCTCCCCCATACCAGCAAAACACACATTCTTCTCAAGTGTACCCACAGCATTTACCATGACAGACCAAATTCTGGGCAACAAAACAAGGCTTAGTCAATTTAAAAGTACATTCTTTGAGCACAAATTAAATTAGAAATCAATAACAGTAAGTTCTCTGAAAAAATCCCTCAATATTTTGAGACTAATACACTTCTTAATAACACATGGGTAAATAAGAAATTAAAAGAGAAATTAGTATTTTGAACTCAATGTTATTCACCATTTAATAAACTAAAAAAGGAAAACCACATGATTATCTCAATAGATAAGAGAATATAGAAAAAGCATTTGACAAAATGCAACATCCATTCCTAATTTAAAAACTCAGCAAATGAGGAACAAAAGATGCTTCTTCAAGCTGATGAAGAGCATCTGTGAAAAACCTACAGTTAACATCATACTTATCAGTGAAAGACTAAAAGCTTTCTCTCTAACATAAGGAACAAGACAAGGATGTCCGTTCTAATTAGTTCTATTCAACATTGTACTAGAGGTTCTAACCATTGTAATCAGATTGGAAAGAAAGAAGTAAAATTGTCTTAATTCACATATGACATGATTATTTATGTAGGAAATCCAACTGATTTCCCTAGAATTAATGAATGGATTTTGGAAAGGTTACAGGATACAAGATCAAGAAATGAAAACTA